ACCCTCGCCGCAGATTACAGGGAAAGGTGGATCCGCAGCCCGGGGCCAGCCTGAGGGCCAGGCCGCGGGGGAGCGGCTCCGGGCAGGGAAGGAAATCCGGAGCCAGAGGGGCCGATGAGGCCGGGAAGGGCTGGCGCCAGGGAAGCTGGAACACGGGCGCGGGGACGTGCGGTACCTTCTTCTTCTCCAGGTTGCGCAGCTTCTTGTCGATCACTCCCAGGATCTGCTTCATGGCCTCGGTCTGCACCGAGCTGGTGCTGCCACCCGCAGCCGCTACTGCCTGAGGGGGAGCTGCTGCCGGGGCGGCCTCGCTGCCCGCCGCCGCTGGCCCCACTTTGGCGCTGCTGCTCGCCATAGTGCTGTTAGTGGCCGAGGGCATCGCTGCAGGGGAGACAAGAGAGCGCGTTGAGGAGGGTGGCTGGACGGACCGCCGGAGGGGACACGCGGGAGGGCGCGCGCGGGCGCGCACCCACCTTTCTCACCTCCCCCTGCCCCCGGCCGCGCCGAGCGCGCGCCGGGGCCGCACCTGCAGGCGCGTGCCCAACGATCTCGCCACTAAATCCACTCGGCTCTATCCGCCTTGCCGACGAGGGCGCTCGGGCGAGTCACGTGACACGCAGACGGCTGGCGCCGCTCGCCCCAATCCCCCGTTCAACGGTCACTCGCGGAAACCTTCCCGAGCCAGGAGCCCTTCGCCCCCCCTCACCGTGTGTGTGTGTGAGAGAGAGAGAGTGTCCCAAGGGGAGGGGGCTCAGTGCGCTGCGCTCTCGCTGTAGGCAATGGCCGCCTCAAGCCACTCCGGCCCCGCCGCCTGCGCCGCTCCTGCTCCCGCTCTGCAGCGAGCTACTAAAGGAAGAGACGAGAGCGCGCGCGCGCCGGAGAGAGGCAGGGCAGGGGCCCGTGGTGCGAGCGGGCGATGGGTCCTCGACGGCGAGGAGCGCCTACCTAGAACGCCTGCGCCACTGGCCGCCCCGCCGCTCCTGGCGGGACGGCCCCGGGCTCAGGAGTGCGGCGCGTCCCCATGGGGCACCAAAAACCCCGCTTCCAAATCCCCAGGCCTTCCCCGGCCGGGTCCGTCGGGCGCCACCTGAAGCCGGCGCACAACGGGGAGAGCGGAGAGGCTCTTGGAAGGACCCCGCGGGAACGGGGTTGGGCGGGGCTACGGGACGTTTCCTCCTGAGGTTGACCTGCTGCCTCCGGCCGGAATGGCAGCGGGGCAGCCCCCGGCCTTGTCAACGGGGCTGGGTTGCGCGCCAGGCGCTGGGGTTCTGAGCCCCGTCCGCGCAACAGCGCTCGAACCCCGGCTGGGCCTGCTTGGTTCCGCTCGCGGGCCGGGGGGCGCGCTGGGTCCGTGGCTGCAGGGCGGGGGAGAGAGCCCTCTGGGGAGAAGCCGTGGTCATAGGCAATAGAACTAGAGGTGCAGGGGGAATCTACAGCACCCCCTCAGATCCAGGCTTTACAGTTCGGTTCAATGGCTCTTGGCAGCCCACTGCACAAATTGTTCCAGCATCCCTAGCTGTGGTTGTGCTGAGAATTGCAACAAGTGATGCCTGGGGAGAGGCTGCCTGCAGCATGTGTGTGGCCCACTGTGTCCTAAGGCATAGAAACTAGGGGTGGAGTAGTCAATTGACCAATAAGCAAAAGCTTATAGGTTAATGCTGTAGACTACAACATACCCCTCCACCCCTTGCTAGTAAATTTTTTAGCAGGCTGACCAAGCAGCCCAGCTCAGTCCTGGCTTGCTGTCAGCTGACGGTCAGGGCAGTGTGTATGTGCTATACACCCGAGACTTTAACTGCTGAGACCGGGGTCCCTTGCAGCAGGCCAGCTGGAGGAGGCTGACGGGTGCCCAATAAGTGTACAGGGAGAGCTTATAACACCTTAGATTTCAGCTGCTAGAATTCATAATTCCTTCGCAGTGGGCAGCCTTGAAGAAAGACTGAAAGGTGCCCCAGTGGATTCTGCCACCTGGGTGTGACACAAATCCAAACACCCAAGCTCTCCCTATATCTGTCCCTAATGACCAGCTGAAGTTCTTTTAAATTGTGCCTGGTTCTGTTATAGCAACTGAAGGAGTCAGGTTAAAGCTTAAACAGTTACAGGTTTATTGAGGAAGCTTATAAATCATATGGTTGCAATGACTATTGTTTTATTTCTTAACTGCTGGCAAGTATATATGTATATATAGATAGATCTAGCAAAATATAGATCTTAAAAATGGTTACAAAGAAGATAAAGATAGGAAATAGAAAATAATGGTACCAAATGACAGCTTAATCTTTAAAGAGCTCTATTCTATGCATGCACTAAAACAAAAGGACACATACGGGTACAATTTTTACCCCCTTCTGCGTCGCTCGGTCCCAGTGTGTCAGGCCAGGTTCAGTCCCTCAATTCCTCGGAAAGAAGAAAATACGAGGTGGGCGTCCCCGTGGAACCTCGGGAGGTCAAAGCACCTACCCCAATCAGCAGGTAGAGGGTAGTTTGACACTCAAAAGTGAGTGCGCTCCTGTACCCACCTTTATACCCATTGGGTCACATATTTCTCTTTCTTATCTGTGATGCCAAATGATGCTGGTCTGTCTTTTGTGAGACCAGTTCTTACAAGGGAGTTGTGAACTTAATTTACACTTGTAAGAGAGAGTTGAGAGGATTAAATTGGAAGTACTGGGCATTCTTTTTCTCAGTGGGAAATTCCTCTCCAAAGGACTACGTGTGTTCGAATCAACATGGGTGCCAGCCGGGCACTTCTTGCAGCCTCCAGCTCAGTTTATTGCCTTAATCGTTACTCAAGAGTCAGAGAACACTCGCAAATCCTGATCTCGCATCAAAGCAGATCAAAGCTTAATGGTTATGCTGATTTTCTTATTGTTCCTTCTCTGCCCTGTATACAGACATCTCAGAGGGCAAGGAAGATTGGTTGAGATGGGGGGGCTGTCTGGCTACACTTGCACTGTGTCCTGGACCTACCCTGCTATGGCTCTGCATTTAAAGTGTATTAGGAGGCAGGCAGCCCAAGCTGAGTTCATGAGGTTAATTGACTATTCAATTGCTGCCTCTATCAGAAGTACAATGAGGGGACCAGGCACAAGTAGAATCAGCTGATTCCTGGCTCATGCATTGTCCCTCCCCACTGCACTTCAGCCTTTTGAATGTATTTAGAGCCTGGTGGCTCTTAATATATTTACAAGGCAGAGCCACAGTGGGGTTAGCTCCAGAATTTCCCCCACTCATTGACTAGTCAATTGGTTGATTAAATGCAATTTAACATCCCTATTCCAAACTCCTAATCATTTTTGTTGTCTTTTTCTGAACCTTTTCCAGTGTCAATATATCTTTTTTGAGATGAGGCGATCATATTTGTACTCCGTACCAACCTGTTTGGTGCTATTAATGTTGCCGTCTATCGCTGGACTTTGATTTCTGGACCAGGCAACTGAAACCCTATGACCTAATTTTTATCATCTATAGGAATTAACTGAGATAAAGCCATGTTTGTCTTGTACAAAGGGAAATTTGCATTCACAATAAGTGCTATACCTTTTTAAAGAGGGTAAAAAGTGTGAAGAACGGAGGCAGCTGAAATGCTCCTGAATGTGAAAGGATCGATAGGTCTTCAGGCAAACCAAGCTGGAAAGGTTTTGGCAGTTATTTAGCTGCTTGTACTATAATATAGAAGGAACCTTTTCCTTGGTATTCTAAGGGGAGAAATCCCCTTACATTTTTTGTGAATTTGATAATTTGCTAACTTGTTTTCTTATAGTTTCCTCATTTTACACTTAATTTTAACTCCATGCTAAGCAAACCATCTCTCTGACTTTGCTATAATGTGCTGCAATTTCTGACCTCTAATTTGCAATGGTTAATGTCCTTGCATATATTAAGTGTCATTTATTAATAATGCTGTACAAGTTGATGGTATAGACTATATATAGGAAGCAATTCATATAAGTGTAGCCACCTCCAAGATGAAACATAAAACATGTAAAAGCAACATCACACAATACTTTGGTCTGGAAATGAGGAATATCTTTTCTAACTGATATTACAAAGGAACATTTGATAGAATGTAGCATTTTGGTGGTTGTTCATCTACACTGGAGGGTCTTTGTTATGAATTCTTCCTGCTCATATACATGAGATTATTAAGATAGTGAGGAGATTACGCCTATGTTTATCTAGTGGATAATTATATACATGTAGGACTAAAGAGATTTCTATAAGTTATCTACTTCAGTGCTTTGCACTGATACAGGATTCAGTATTATCTAGGGTTGTGAACGAGTAGTTGAGTAGACGATTAACCGATAAGCCTAGGCTTATTGGTTAATCTTGACTGTTCACATTTCCTCCCCATCTTGCTGCTTTCTATATCAGAAGCAGCAAGGGGTGGGGGAAGCAGGAGCTGGTGCTGGAGGGAGTCGGCTTAAAAGCCGTTTCCCCGCAGCACTGCCTGAGGCTCTTGTACATTTCAAAGGAAGAGGCACAGAGGGGAAGTTGCTGCCTCTCTCCCTTTGAAATATACAAGATGCTCTTGTACATTTCAAAGGGAGAGGCACAGCAGGAGCCCCCCCTTATGGAAATTCCATTGACTACTGGATTAGCTGATTAATCAAAATGTAACATCCCTAGGCTGGAGGAGCTTCTTAGGGCCAGATTGCACTGGCTGCCAGTCACTGCTGCCTCTGATGCAGGGGGCTCCCTGGGAGTAGGGCCAGATTGCACTGGCTGCCAGTCCCATCCCTAGGGACTATAGAATAGTTGATAACCACTAAAAATTCATGCAGTTAGTCAACTATTGTATTGCCTGATATCTAACATCCCTAGTATTATCTAGACCATCCCTGTCATGTGTTTCTCTAAACTGTTCTTAAAAACCTCCAATGTTGGAGATTCTATAGTCTCCCTAGATAGTTTGTTTATGTGCTTAACCATCCTGATAGGAAGTTGTTCCTAATGTCCAATCTAAATTATTAGGCATGCAAAACTCCATTTAATTGATTAAACTGGTTAAAAATAAAGGCAGGCATGGGGGGGGCTAAAACTCCCCCCCTCTCCCGCCGCAGGCAGGAGTTGTTCCAGCCCAACTGCTGGAGCAGTCCCTGTCAGCGACAGGCCCCCCCAGGC